AGAGCGCAGGCTGCTCACCCACGGCACCAGGACTTGTCCCCTCACGCCCCGACTCAACGAGGCCTTTTCCCAGGCTGACATTTGGGGTGGGAGGAACTTGTACCTTTGATGAGCGTAACTCAAAGCCCAGAGCCAAGTCAGGGGGAGGGTAAATCAGGCACTGTGGGCACACTAAGAGGGGCCTTTCCCAAATCTGGAACCCCACAGCACAACAACAAACCAGTACCAGCTCTGCCGGAGAGCAACGCGCTGCCTGCCACCATCCTCCTGCCTCTTCCCACCAGCCATCATGCACCAGGCTCCACCTCACCTCTCCGCCTCCTCCTCAGTCACCTCCTTCCTCCGGGGCAGGCTGCTGTTGTTGTTGCAGGTCATGATGTTGTTGCTGGAGAAATTCTTCTGAGACTTCATGAAGCTGCTGCTTTCACCGTCCTCGTTTGAGGTGGCTTTGACAACGTTGCTAAGGAAGAAGATGAATCTCCTTGGCACCATCCTGCCCCATCCCGCGCCACATCTGCACACGAACACGGGGTCAGCACAGCCTCAGGACCTCACCACACTTACTTGAGGGAACTGGGTGCCTGGTTGGAGCTTTTGGGTGCAGAACCCTTCTCAGTGGTGGAGTAGTTGTTGTGCACCATGGTGGTGACACAGTTGCCCATCGCGCCCTTGTTGCTCCTTTTGTGGAGAGAAGATGAGGCGTTAGGACTTGCTGGATCTGAAGGGAACAACATGCACCACAGGCGCTCCCTGCGTTGCAACCCTCAACCCAACCGTGACCGTCTGGAGCGTCCCCAAGGCAAGCAGCAGGCGAGGCCTCACAAGTGACTCGCCCGCTCCCTAGAACTCCCTCCCTGGTAGCTGTTACTTGACGCACAGACAGACAGACACAGCCCGAGCAGACCTGACAGCCTGCTGTCCAGCCTATTCTACACACAGCCTTGGCTTAAGTCTCTCCCGGCCCTGAAGGCTTCAAGTTTTACTCATTCCCTTTCCTAGAGCAAGAGCAGCCTCTCCCACACATCAGTTGAGCTCCTGTGCAGCTTCCCAACACGTCCTGGCCAGCCAGCCTAGCACGCCATCACCGGTCTGCCCCGCACTTGACCCCCGTGCCCCGGCAGAGGCAGCGCACCGGCATCACCTCCTCTGCCCGGGTGTTTTCTCTGTGTAGTTCCTCCCAGCACCAGGCCTACAGGCTCTGGATCAGTGCCGCCCCTCCTACCTGTTGTTGGCGGTGAAGTTGGCCGCCAGGAGCACGGTGGCTTCTTTCCTCCTCATGCCTGCTGGCGGCACAACGCCGCGGGAGCCGGAGGGGCCCGGGAACACTCGCGGCTGATCGTCCTGCCACGGAGCCAGCAGGTATAAACGCAGGCAAGAGCCAATCCCACATCCTCAAACACCACCCTCTTCCTTCACAAGCCGGTTTCTCCCCCACATAAAAAACTCTCTGTTCCACAGGACGGCAGCCTCGAGGCTTTGCCTGCACCTCTGCCTGCCTCCACCAGAAGCCAGGAGCACGGAGGTGATGGGCAAAAGCCCCGACTCAGACACAAGGCCAACACAGGCCAGAGGACTGGCTGAGCACATTGGCCATCCAAACTGTGCCAGCTTCGACTGCAGGCCAAGGAAGGACCACTGACGAGCTGTACCACCCCATCCTCAGGTCTAGGGAAACCCTCCCACTCCTCAGGCAAGCAGAGCTGACGGCCCACCCGCCCCAGGAGACCGCCGTCCTCACCAAAATGTTCCACGTGGTTTTCTTTTCCGGGGAGGTTTTGCTCAGACTCGCCAGTTTCTTTCTTCCCCCAGAACTGCTCTCAAAGAAGGTCAGGAAGTCTCCCGGCTGCTCAGAGCTTTAGCCCGAACCCAGGGAAAGCAGACAGGAGGAGAGAACACGTGTTCTGGAGTTAATATTGCAGGCAGACACAGGGCAACAAGACAGCAATAGCGGGGTGCTCATCCCGCACAGGCTGCTTCAGCGAGAAGCACGCTTTGATTGCAGCAGGACACTCTGAAAACAGAGACAGCATAGAGCTGAGGAACACCTAGCACATGCCATCGCAACACAGGGAGGAAAGGGCTGGAGAATCATTACACAGTCAAGAAATCTATGAGTGATTCATTTTTATACAGAGATTTACATTTCAGAATGATGTGTAGCGATAGAATATATTAAAGGGATGAGCACAGGGCAACGAGAGAAGAGAAAATCACTATCCAGAGACAGCCCTAGGTCACTGGAGAAAGGAGGAGACCTTTCGCCTCCTGTCACAGCCCAGGTATGGTCCAGACAGTCCACGAGGTGCTGCTTTAAGTGAACAGTCTGGTCGCTAGGAATTAAATTGAGTGCCTTTTGTGACAGCAGCTTCCCAGCCACAGAAATACACTCTTTGTTTCCCTAAATCCTAATCAAGTGACCTCCCCTCCAAAACAAAAACCCCCCAAAAACCCCAGACCTTGGCTTTCCAAGGCCAGGTTATATCCCCTGATGAGTATGACAGAGCTTAATGTACATTTTTAAAGGCTCTGGTTCCCTCACAGGACAAGAGAGGTCAGACACGTGGGTGGGATTTCACACAGTCCCATCCACGGGACAGATGGACATACGGCGGTGGCTGGAGCTGTACCTGCGTGTGCTGTTCACTCGCTGGTTAACCTGGGTGGTGCTGTTGGATCTCCGGAGGTTGTTCATTGCCCGGGATCCCGCATCTTCCTGCAGTGGAGAGAGCCAAATTCAGCTGCAATGTTAAGGAGAAGCACAGGCAGGCGGAGCTGGGATGCCTGGCCTAGGCAAGCTCCTCCCATGAGTCAGGCATCCTAGAAGAGCACTGCTGGTGGTGCTACCCTTCCAACCCCTTCAACACAGCCCCAACACGATGTTTCCGATATCCCCACGGCTGCCAACCTCTCCTTGAGGCAGAGTGCAATAACACCTCGCTCCCTCTCAGGCTCCTGCGCCGCTGCTGAGCCAGCAGGAACACGTTTGTTTGTGTGAGCTCCCCAGCCGAGAAGGGCTGGGTTCGTTACCTGCCCTGGGAACGAGCACGAAGGAAGACTGCCAAGGCAGCAGGGATTACTCAGCAAAGAGCACAGAGACTCTCTGCTACTGGATCTTAACAGAGCTCAGTAAGTAGCTGGGGCTTATTCATTCTGCTGAAAAAACAGTCACAGAAACCCCCACTTGGCAAGACACCGAGTCCCCAGCTGCTGCTGACCCCGGCAGGAACGGAGGGGGCTCGGCAAGGCACAGGCTGAGCCTGAAAACACCGTAGCATCCGGCAGAGATACCGGGAACTCAGGAGTTTCCAGAAGGAAATCGGTGCAGGGAGGTGCAGAACAAAGAAGGGAAGAGTGAAGCCTGACGGTTCCCTGCTTGCTCTTCTGCATACATTAAAGCACTGAGAAGAGACCTAACGAGCAGCCGATCATTGAGGATAATCAGATTTGGAGATAGTGCGCGGCACTGCAGCGCCCAGGGCTGCAGCTGCAACTAGCACCTGGAGCAGCCCAATTCTCCCTTCCCGCAGGCAGCACAGCTTCTCCATAAACACGCGTCCATGCCACGTTGCCACACGCTCCCAGGGGAGCCACGCTGCGGGATCAGCACAGCCCAGCATTAGACAGGCGGCAGAGCGGGCGCTCATCGAGGCATTCACAGCCTGTTCACACATGCCTCCCGGCCCCGAGAAGCAGGAGGCAAGAAGAACATCTCCCGCCCAGGACTCACCAGAGCGTTCCTCTTCGGTTTGCCATCGGCGGTGACCGAGACAGAGCGCGCCATGTGCTTGGCGGGAGAGGCGCTGCTGGGGCGCCGCAAGCCCGGCGCGGGGAGGCCTGTCAGGCTCAGATCCACGCCGCCAGAACCGGCGCCCTGGAAGGAGGAGCTGCTGCGGGTGCTCTTCATGCTTGAGCAGAGAGAAGGGGTCCTGGAAGCACAGCACAGATGGAGAAGTGAAGGCACAGAGAGGGCATCCAGCCTCGTGCAGCCAGGAAACCGAGCTCTGCTCCCAACTGTCTCCTACAAACGCCGACACACAGAGCTGAAACCATTTTCAAACAGGACAAAACACCTTCTTCTGTATTTCCACGTGCCAGATAACCCTGAACACAAGGCCCAGCGAGGCTCCTACAGCAGCAGCTGTCTCCTCGCTTCTTTGACCTAACGCCCTGGCTGTCCCACGTTCTGCTGCCCCATTTACAGGCCAGGACTCTCTCTTCAAGGCCAGCAAATGACTAACACAGATGAGAAAAGCCCCACTGCCCACACCAGGCTCCTTCACTCCATACAGACTGTGGCTGGGAGAGGATCATGTGAGCCCAGAACAGCCCCTTCTGCTAAGGCCAGGGCTTCAGCTGACCGAGCACCCTGCCCTCGGGCAGCAATGCCCAAGAAGCAACTGGGCAGCTCCCAAGGGATCCTTCCCCCACCAAGTGCTCATAATCTCTGCCAAGAAGCTGTTGAGAAGCAGCCGTGCCCTCTCCATGGGCGCAGCAAGAGCTGAGTCCCTTCCCCAGCTTGGGAGGCAGCACACTCCCTGCTTTACCCTTTGGCATCCCCTCCTGCCACGCAGCGCTGAGCCAGGAGCTGTCGATGTCCCCAGGCAAAGGCCACCGCAACATCCCTTTATTGCTTTATGCAGCACTACGCACAAGCCATCCCTAAACCCATCTTCCCCGCGCCGGTCTGGTTTCACCCCTCCGTGGGGCTCCACCTCGGCAATACCCCCGGCTCCAGTGACCCGAGTGAACAAAAGGCTCTCGATGGAAACCGCTGGGCTCGCACCAGGAAAACAGGGCTCAGGCCTCAACTCCAGGCCCAGGACACCCAGGCCCAT